CCCCCTCCCCCTTCCTCCCCCTCCTCTTCCTCACTCTCCTCCCCCTCCTCTTCCTCCTCCTCTCGGTGGATCTCAGTGAAGTCAGGTTCTGCCAATACATGTGGTCTGCAACCCTGCCAGGAGCCTGGGGCTGAAGGGGAGCACACAGCCGGTCAATGCCTCATGCTTCTAGCAATGGCATTTGGTGAGGAGAGGCTGGCTGAAGGAGAGGGCTGGGGCCTCTGCAGAGCCACCAGCCTCCGTGAAACTTTCAAATGCTGGGGGATGGGCTGGCTTCTGGGCTGGGACCAGGCAAGACTCTATTAGCGGCCCCTCTCCTGGAGAGCCAAACAAGGTCAACCAGATGGCCCAGAAGGCTTCTGGCTGCTGCCAAGCAAAGCTGTTTGTGAGTGCCCTCTGCTGACACAATCCAGAACTGCAAGGCAGTCCAGGAGAAGCCAGATGGCAAAAGCAACCACGCCCAAGTCTCAGGAAGCTGTCTTCCTCAGAGCCCAGAGGAAACACGGCTGCTGCCACCTGCACCTCTGCTGTGGGACAGGGCAGAGAGCTCAGTGAAACCAACCGGACCCTCAAGGCTGGCACAGGGCATGGTGTGGGGAAGAACTCCCCAGTGTGGGGCCTGACCCTTGCTAAGGGTCCCAAAGGGTTCCCCGAGGAAAGGCCAGACTTCCCAGCCCAGGGTCAGGTGCACGTGGGGCGTTGTCTGTGCTCGAGGCACCATGACCAGCACCCCCACAGGCAGGGCCACTCAGGGACAGCTCTAGGAGCGGATGACAGGGGTCCGTGAGGGAGCTGAGAGACAGGTATCACCGCAGAGCTCGGGGACTGCCTTCCGCTCTGTGACACCGAAGAAGAGGTCTGCCACTCACCCCGGGGCATCACGCTGTCCTGGGCAGTGGGGGTGTGGGAGGGGCAGCACAGCTTCAGCTGGTACCAGGCAGACAGTGAGTCCTGCTGTACACCTAGGGTCAGGCCACCCGCAGAGATGGCAGGGTCTCACCCCCAAAGGGCCCTGGGGGGCGCTGGGCCTGCAGCAGCTCCGTGGTCCCCCTCCAGGGTAGATAGCACAGCTCCCATCTCAGCCAGCACCCCTTGCTCTCGCTGGGAAGAGTCCCCTGCCTCTCATCCCTCCCACCCCCCCAATCACGTCCCTCTCTGAAATAACACGGAAAGTGAGAGTTCACGTTCTCCAGTAGGAAGCGCAGCTGAGGCCCACAGACCTGCGTCTTTCCCATTAAAATGCTGTTTCACAAATTTTAAACTCTCTATGGCCACAAATTTTCTCAGTTCAGATAAAACCTGAAGAGGTAAATTATGTTTCACATTCATCTCCCTCCTGGCAAAATAACAATGGATTTATTGTCACTGTAAGACGGCCCCGTCTCGTCATGAGCCGGGCCACTGACACGCTCTACAGTCGACTGTCGGCAGTCCTGGGGGAAGTGGGTCTGCTGTCCGACGCTTCATATTTCATTTCTCCCCGAAGTCCCACTGGGAGGGGCGGGCTTGGCACGGGCCCGAATCCCTTCCTCCACGCATTCGTCTTGTCTTTGCGGGATGCCCTGAGGCATGAGAGCATTTTAGGAATACAGCAGGAGGCAAATAGATATGTGTTGACCACAGAACGGATCGTTTCTATGACAAGTTATCAGGGACATTGACAGATCCCTTGATTTGCTCAGGTGACCAACGGCTGTGACTGGTCCCCTATGAGGTGCCAGGCAAGAGACAGAGGAGGTCTCTGCACCCAGGACGTCACTCCTCTGTCCCCAAGGACAGAAGCTGCACTAAGGAAGGGTACTGGCAAAGGGGGAGGGGCAAAGACTTGCCGGTTAACGGCGTCCAATCAACTGCCTCCACTGGCCAGCGGATGGGCATCCCAGAGGCCTCAGAGCAGGGACGTGAGGAGGGATGGGGAGAGGGAGAGTCCGGGAGCCAGAACACAGCACAGGCACAGAACCAGGAAGGCGTGGCCTCTATGCCCAAGATGAGACTGGGAGACCCTTGACCTGCCTCATCAGGGACTCAGGACAGCCTCATCACCGAGGGGACACTCAGAGGGGGACGCGACAGCGGGGGGCACTGGCTGGGGGGTGGGAGGAGCCGTGACAGGAGGACCCGTGGATGCATGCAGGGAGCTGCCCGGCGCTTCTCACAGGTCTCAGCCAGGGCCACCTCCATGCGACACCACCACAGCGAGCAGAGAATGGCAGGGCCACACGTCCGGGACAGGCAGCCCTTTCAGGACCCAGGTCCAGGTGACTTGTTAGGGGTGAGAAGTAGGACAATCCACCAGGAGGACTCGGGGGACGGCACACCGGGAGGATGGGGGGGGACGGCCCACCAGGAGGATAGGGGGGGACGGTCCACCAGGAGGACTCGGGGAACAGCACACTGGGAGCACTCAGGGGACAGCACACCGGGAGGACTCAGGGGACGGCCCACCGGGAGGACTCAGGAGGTTCCCTGTCCCAGAAACCTGGGCTTTGCCGCACATTGACCCGTCACAGAAACAGGCTTTGCTTAGCACTGAGACACAGCTGCCATCATGGCTTCTTGGCCCAAAGGGCCCATTCCTACTTCAGACACAAACTTCTAAAGTCCTGATAGATTTGAGGGGACTCTAGAAAGTGGTGGGGAAAGGAGTACAGAGAAGAAAAGGCCAAAGTTGTCCAGAAACCACGGCCGGCAGGAACATCCTCCAGGGACGCAGCAGGGACAGAGACAGCGCTGTTCGTTAAAACTGTCCCAAACCTTGCTCAGTGCTAAGGTCACTTCCAGGCCACCAGAAAGATGGAGCACAGACTTGTGATCATTGGGAACACCTCTCACAAGGTGACCGTGCCTGCCCGAGACCCTACGTCCTCGCTCACGTACGTCAGCTGGCATCTGACTGACTGCAGGCCGTCGGGGCAGCACCTCAAGGCAGGGGCAGAAGGGGTCGATCACCCGCCGGATTCCACATGGCCAGAGAAGCCCAGAGGGTTCATGGACTCCAGTGGGCAGGGAGGAGAGGACCTGCCCCGGGGTGGTGAGAGGAACAACTGGGTGCCACAGTGTATGAGATTAAAAGGAGAAGTCTGGCTTGGCAATCTGTTCTCATTAGAGCCTCTGCAATGCAGCTAGCTTCGAGTCACCATGCTTGATGCACGTTCCCGTCACTCACTGTCCCCAAGTTCAGCTTCCAGCCTCCCCAGCGGCCCTGGGCCCGCCCTCCCTCACCTCCCGGGAAGCCAACCCTCTCCCCTTCCTGTGTTTGTGACCCCACGGGCTTCCCGGCTGCTGCCGGCCCAGGGACGGCGGGGCTGCAGGAGCCCCCCCCTCCACAGCCACCAGGCGCGCCTCTTACCCGGGTACAGCTGCTTGGTGGGCGCGCTGAGCTGGGCCTCCTTGGTCACTCGGTAGGCAACGTCTGGGCCTTTGGCAGAGCGTCGTGTGGCGCAGAAGCCTGTGGTCTTCGTGATGCCATCGGGCAAGTTGTGAAAATCTAGAACCTTCAGGAGATCTGCTGGCTGAGCTGAAATGACAGAGGAGCTGGAATCAGCCACAGAGAGGAAAGGAGAGGAGCACGGGGAGCACGGGGAAGGGGAGGACTCCAGAGGCTGCCGCAGCCCTCACCACACACAGCACAGCCACGTATGTCTCCAAAGAAGCTGGGGACCGAGCAGCTGCCTTATCCCAACACGCGCAAGCAGTCCCACACCAGGAGCAAACCTCCCCTCCAGCCTCTGCATTCCTTCCCGAAGATTCCTGACCCTCCATCCTCTGGGGGTGCCTGGGGACGAGCAGGGGCGTCTCAGGCCTTGAGAAGCTGACCCTCCCACCACTGGTGCAGCGGTACTTGCTGAAGAGCTCAGCAGTCACCCCCAAAACACGGCAGCCCCTCAGCCAGCACCTCCTCCCCCGTGTCACGAGAGCGTGGGGCTGTGTGCCTGCCTGGTGCCCGCAAGGGACCACGTGGTTCCTACCCGGTTCAGCTCCCACTCATGAGGCGCGGGGGAGCCGGGAGAAAATCAAATCCAAGTGGGTGCCACGGTGCAGAACAAGGTGTAGCTCCTGGGTGTCTCAGCACCCACAGCCGTGTCCCTCCACCCACTGGGGCCTGCCTGGGGCTGGCCATGCCCTCCACTCGGGTGAAGAAACACCGACATCAACACCCATCCCAGATGACCAGGCTAGGCTAGAGACGCCCATCCAGGGGCTTTTCCTTCCGGTGGGAGTGACCCACTGCTCCGCTGACGCCACACATAGAACATGGCCTGGGTGGAACAGGATGCTGTCTTCCAGCCGCAGCGAGTACCCTTCTGAAAGTGAGGGGGCAGACCCCCGCCATGCTGCATGAGCACCTGGATCAAGCTAGGCCTGAAAGTGGGTGTGTGCACGCACCAATACGTTCACCCTCACAGGTGGTCTTAACAGGAGAGCCTCCCGGCAGGAGGCCCTGTGTTCCAGGAGGGCAGGCCTGGATGGGGTGCGGGAGTCGTGCAAGCCCAGGGTGTGGTGTGACTAGCTGGGAGAGAGGGAGGCTAGCCTGGGCCAGGCTCCGGTGGGGCCTGGGGAGGGCAGCGTGGTTACAGGAGGCTGCAGAAGGCAGAGGCCAGGATGGCCTCAGCTCATCTCAATCGCCGGCTCTTGTGGCCTCCTGTTTCCCTGATTAGGCCCTGGCCCCTCCCCAGCACCCAGACCCCCGCAGCGTGTCAGTCCTTCACCTGATCTATGCTGTGCCCCGTATCTGAGGCCCCTCTGGGCCGCTCAGAACTGGCGGCAAAGCTCTCGCTGGGGCTTGTCCGCCAGACACCTGAGTCCATGCGGAGTGCCAGCACTGGCAAGGCCAGGTGGCACTACCCCAGGCCTGGCCCCAGCCGTGGGAAGAGACGCGCTGCCAGCTGCTGGCACACCTGTCCCAAATGACACAGCACTGGGCCCCGGTCATCCCAGGCTTGGCTCCAGGCTGGCGGCGTCTGGGGAAGGCGTCAGGGATCTCGGCCAGGAGGCCTGGACACACCGCAGCCAGCGAGGATGCTCTTCCCAGACAACAGGCTGGACACCTGTTTTCTCCATCCACAGGGATGGCAGCTCCTCTCCACAGCCTGCCTGGGCACCGCTGCAGACAACGTCACCGCTTAAGAAGGTCACCAGTCCCCCCCTCCCCCGCAGGCCCCGCACCATCCTTCACCTTGGCCAGAGCACAAGAAAGTTTAGTTCTGACACTGGGGCTTGAACTCAGAGCCTGGGTGCTACCCCTCGGCTTTTTTACTCAAGGCTGGTGCTCTACCACTTGAGCCAGGGCAGTACCACTTCTGGCTCATTGGTGGTAAATTGGAGATAAGGGTCTCAGAGACTTTCCTGCCCTGGCTGGCTTCCAATCATGACTGGGAAGCACACTGTAAGCCTCCACGGAGGTGTCTGTGGGTCCCCACGCCCACCCTCTGGGGCCGAACACCCATGCTGAAGGCCGACGGCTCCACGCTCTGCTCACAGGCTGGCCCATCCATAGGACAGCTGGTTCACTCCAGCTCAGCCCAGCCTCCTCCCAGCCCTCCCTGCTCCACAGCCTGGGGACAAACTACATCTCCCAGATGTCTTTGGGGCAACTCAGGATGAAAACTCATCATCATAGCATCCTGTCCTGGGTGCAGATGTGAAGGATTAAGGGATGCCCTATTGGCTTGGCTCCAGGGGTCAAGGCAATTGAGGTGTCAAGACCCACGTGTCAGCAAGTGCAGCAGCAGCTTCCGGCTGCCTAGGCCGCAGCCTCCCTGTGGTGTGCGACCCTTGGGTCGCCTGGGAGGGGCAGGGCCAGCACAAGGCCACTGAGCTCAGAGTCCAGACCACAGGACTCTGTATGGGCTCTCCAAGGGCCCACATCCTTGGGCCATTCTAATGAGAAAACCAGGTGTGGCACCCCCAGATAAGACACAGGTGAAACTGAATTCTGGGTGCCAAGCACCATAAGAAGTAGCATGAAATCTCTGGAAAGAAAGGTAGGCCTCTGATAGCAGTGCTTCCCAAAGGTGCTTGGACAGAGGGGTCCAGGACAGATGATGGGTGGGTGGGTCAGTAGATAGATAGATGGACACATGGGTGCATGCATGGATGGATGGATGGACACATGGATGGATGGTTGGATGGGTAGATGGATGGATGGGTGGATAGATGGGTAGATGGATGGATGGATGGATGGATGGATGGATGGATGGATGGATGGAAAGATGGATGACAGATGGATGGACACATGGATGGATGGAAAGATGATGGATGGACACATGATGGATGGATGGACACGTGGGTGTATGGATGGATGGATGGATGGATGGACACATGGATGGATGGTTGGATGGGTAGATGGATGGATGGGTAGATGGATGAGTAGATGGGTAGATGGATGATGGATGGATGGATGGACGGATGGATGAATGGGTAGATAGATGGATGGATAGATGAGTAGATGGGTTGATGGATGGATTAGTGGATGCATGAGTAGATGGGTGGATGGATAGATGATGGATGGGTAGACGGATGGATGAATCAATGGATCGATGGATAGATGAGTGAATGGATGGATGGATCGATGGATAGATGAGTGGATGGATCAATGGATCGATGGATAAGTAGATGGGAGATGGATGGATGGATGACAAATGGATGGATACATGGATGGATAAGTGGATGGATGAATAGATAGGTTGGTGGGTAGATGGGTGGATGACGCATGGATAGATGGACGGATGGATGGATGAGTGGATGGATGGGTGGATGGATAGATGGAGAGATGGGATGGATGGGTGGATGGATGAGTATATGGGTGGGTGGGTGGATGGATGGATGGATGGGAAAATAGATGGATGGACAAATGGATCATGGAAGCACAGAAAGGGAATCCTCAACATGAAACACAGAAGGGGTACCTTCACCAACTGCTGTGCCAGCATCTCATCTGTCCAGCAGAACAGGGGCATCAGAACAAAGGTCACCCACAGCTAGAAGAACCACTATAGCACAGAGGCCCTGCAAGGATGGGGACAGGAAGCTGTCCCCAGGGTTTATTCACCCCTGCCCTGTCTAGCAGGGGCTGGACACTCAAAGTGCCTGTCCCCACCTGACTTATGCTTGACCATTGTTTACTGGTCCAGAAGGTTCCATGAGGGATCTGTGATCTGTCAAATGCCAGCTCATCTTAGCACAGAGTCCCTGCCATGACCTGATCACTCATGAGCCTCCGCTCCACAGGAAGTGGCCTCTCCTCAGCCAGCCCTGTCACCTGAGCTATGCGGCACCTCCACCTCACAGCACTGCCGTAATGCTGCCTCCTCCATCTGCTGGGTGCCACGCCCACTTCCTCGTAGACTTGTCCCCCATGAAGTCGCCCTTTGGGAGAGGCACTAATGTCACTTCTATCTCATTAGACGGTTAATGCCAGGGCCTGGCTCCTGGGTCCCAGGGATCAGGATCAACAGGAAATACACTCACCACTCCAGGCCTGTCTCTGACCCTAGGGACTGCACAGCCCGGGCCCCACTGCCACCTACCACTGCTGCTGAATGTAGCTGTGGTCCCCAGGCCAGGAATATCCAGGAATCCTGAAGGCTCAGGATCCCGGGCGCCCAGCAGCAACACTGGACCACACACCCGGGCCCCAGTGGCTGGGGGAGGGATACTGTCCACACATGCTTCCAGGCCTCCCTGCATCCCTGCTTTTCTGTGTCCCCAGGAGGGACACATTGCAAGAAGGGCATCACCAGGGGCAGGGGCAACAGGAGGCTGGGGTCCAGCCTGGAGTATACAGGCAACCGAGGTCTGAGCACCAGGCAGAGTAGGAGCCTCACTGGTTCCTCCCTCCCAGCCATACAGGTCAGGGGGCAGGGAGGGACTGTGGGGTGCAGTTTAAGGTCACAGGAACAAACAGACCAACAAGGGAGAGGGGGAAAGGCCCCAATCAAACTCCTAGCTATGATGTCTTAGTATCTGTTTAGGGGTGACCCACACATACAAGGGAGACTCAAAATTCATGAACACTTCATTAAAGCTGGGTGCCAGTGCTCACACTTATAATCCAAGCTAATCAGGAAGCCGTGACCTGGAGGATCCCAGCTCAAAGTTAGCCCTGGCAGACAAGTCCACAAGACTGTATCTCCAATCATCCAGTGAAAACAAAGCAAAATAGAACAAAAAAGCCATGCACCGGTGGCTCACGCCTTTAATCCTAGCTACTCCGGAGGCTGAGATCTGAGGATCTCCGTTGAAAGTCAGCCCAGGTAGGAAAGTCTATGAGACACTTATCATCTCCAATTAAACATCAAAAAAAAAAAAAATCCGAAGTAGAGCTGTGTGGCTCAGATGGCAGAGCACAAAAGCTCAGGGACAGTGACCAGGCACTAAGTTAAAGCCCCAGGACCAGCACACGTGCGTGTGCACACACACACACAGAAGCAGCAGCATCATGGGAAGTAACCCTGGGTACTAGCACTCCCCTGAGTGCCGGGCAGTGACAGGGCAGGGCAAGGGTCTGGGAAGAAGAGGACTCGTTCCTCACGAGGTGTTCAGGGCTTTTGCGAGGCCTTGTTCTAGGCAAAAACACTGCCCTCATCTTACTTTCTACAGCACCAAAGATTGCACCTGACCAACTGAGAAAGCAGCCTAGAAACATGGCCCCCTGGTAAACTGGTGTTTCAGCCAAGTACCACAAACACAGGCTCCGTAAACCCTCAGGAGGGGCACACTGGTACATGGAGAAGATAAATGAAAAGAGAGTATAGATTAAATGATAGAAGGGTGAAAAAGGAAGGTGAAAAACCCATGAATGGATGGATGATCAATAGTTGAATGGATGAGAAATGGACATGATCTGGATGAATGATGGATGAATGGTTGGATGGACTGATGAATCCATAGGTAGATGGACAGATGGATGATGGATAGTTGAATGGATAATAAACAGATGACTGGATGGATGGATAGATGGATGGATGAATAATAATTGGATGGATACATAGATGGAAGATGATTGGATAGGGTTGGTTGGATGGATATTAGATGGAAGGAATGGATAAAGGAGGATCTATGATTCACTGAACAATTCTAACAAAGATTGGTTGAAGAATGACTCACAGAATGATTACAAGTGGCTCACACCTACAATCCTAGCTACTCAGGAGGCTAAGATCTGAGGATCACAGTTTGAAGCCAACCCAGGCAGAAAAGCCCATGAGAATCTTATCTCCAATAAACTACTCAGAAAAAGCCAGAAGTGGCACTGTGGCTCAAGTAATAAAGCACTAGCCTTGAGCACAAAGAGGCTCAGGAACAGTGCCCAGGCCCTGAGTTCAAGCCCCAGGACCAGCAAAAAGAAATGAAAGAATGACTTTTATGGGTAGGTAGATGGCAGGGTAGATGGATGAATAAATAAAGGAGTGAATGAAAGAAAAGAACAGCATCATCTTAAAGGTTCACCTGACAAGCTTCAGCTTCTCAAAGGTTTCAGTACCCCCATTCACCTGTCCGTCCCCCTTTCCTTTCAGACAAGAGGGTGACGTTCAGGGAGGTGTGTTCCTGGGCCTTGTGTCCCCATGGCTCAGAGCAAAGCAGACGGAACTCAGGCTGAGCACCTCTGCCTGCAGATACCTGGTGTGTGGGGAAGAGGGGGTGTACAATATGCGCCCAGCAGTATTGCAGATGATGCTGGTATCCCATGTCCCCAGGGAGTGAGGGCACTGGGGAGAGACCACCTAGGTAACCACCCAGCCCTCGCCACTAGCAAAACCTCAGAGAGCATGCCACAACACCCTGCTTGGCGACCAGGTTTGGAGCTGAGAAAGCATCTCCAATCACTGGCCCTTCCCAATGGCACTCTTTTCCTGTCCAGAAAGCCAAGGGCTCTACCACACTCTTGATCAGTTTCCCAGGTGAGCAATTTCACTGGAAACCCTGGCAGAGGTCGGGGCCGGAGGCGGAGCTTTACCTGGGAACACACCAGTGTGGGGAGGGTAGATCTCAACCTGCAGGTGCAGAGGTGGCGCCATCCCAAAGCTGCATCCTCATGCTGGGACTACCTATCCCCACTGCTCACTGAGGCTGGCCTGAGGGCAGAATGCCTGGCCCTTCAACACCACCCCACAGGGGGAGGCCAGCCGCTGGGCAAGGCACACAGCCCCCTGCAGTAATCGCCTTGCTCTGGTGGAGACACCCCCCCAGATGATCACGTGGCCCACAGCGCACACACCTGCTATTGAAAATAAGCCATGCCAACACTGAAGACTCCATGGAGGGTCCAGTGATGTGGGCAGGACACAAAGGACTCCCAGAGCAAGGGGCCTGGGCCAAGCCAAAGGAAGAAGACACAATGTCAGAAGAGCTCTGACAGAAGCCAAGGCCATATCGGAACATTACAGCTCAGGTAACCCATTCCACAGGGCAGCACCTAATGGCAAAGCGCTGGGTTGTGTCAGAACCTAGCACCCAGATAAAGTAGGGCTCCCATTGAGGGTCGTGGTGGCGGTGAGTGCAGGCCTCTAGCTTGAGATCTAGGGGAAGGGTCACCGTGGGGACAAGCGGCCCTGCATCTTCCCCTCCCTTCTGCGGTCGTTGCTGCTTTCCACCTGTGCTTATTAATAGAGGTGTTTTCCTTACCCTGTCACTCCTCAGAGAATAATGAGCAGTACAGAGCAAGGCCAGGCATGCTGTGCCATGGCCAGCTGCCAAAGCTGGAGCCCCGGAGGGGCGGGAGGGCCTGCGCACGGGAGCATGCAGCCCGGGGAGGGGAGGCGGGGGTAGGTGGGGAGGAGCTGCACTCAGGCTGCCCAGAGGCTCTGCTGGTCCAGGCGGGGACCTGCACTTGTGAAGCCCAGCAGGGACAAGACAGTTGACCTTGTTCATCTTCTCGTTCAGGAGGAAGACGGGAAAGGTGACAAACTCCACCCTACGGGGCCAGTTGTTTTGGCTAGCACATGCTCCACAGGCTTTCAGAAGCATCCAGAGAATGGTGGTGTTGGGGCAGCTGGAATCACTGTAACAGCATACACCAACTTTAATGTCTCCATAGGGGCCTGGCCCAGGGAGCCATGCTGGGCGGGGGGCGGGGGGGGGGAGGGGGCGGGGCAATTGGAGAGGAGAGAAGCGGAGGGGGGGTGCGTCGGGAGACCATGACAGAATGGCACCAGCCTCTGACAGAACTGCTGCAGACCTGCTGCCATTAAATGGCATTTTTGAAAGGTACCAGGTTACTGGGCCCTGGGCAGGTGGGGGCTGCCTTCTCTCAACAGAGACACAGGAGGAGAAGGAGGAGGAGGAGGACGAAGAGGAGGACGAAGAGGAAGAAGAGGAGGAGGAGGAGCAGAGGAGGAGGAGGAGGAATAAAGGAACAGAGGATGCAATTATCAGCACTAATATGGTTGGCCTCAGAGGCTCCCTCACCCCTTCATGAGCTGAGGAGAGTGGGTGTGCCCACCAGGGATGGTGACAGCCCTCCGGGCCCAGTGTCCCTGCTGCCTCAGTGTCCCCTGCCCCCTGCAGTTACTCAAATCATGCCCCACCCACACCCCCAAGTAGGCCAGAGGTATTCCCAAGGACCTGAGACCCTTCAGGACACACCTTGTCCTCTACCAGAATAGGCAGGAGTGTGGCACAGTGCTCGCAAAGGAGAAAGAAATGAGCAAGGTACCCAGAGAGAAACGGAGGAGCCACTGAATTCCTTCCAACCATCCAATCAACAGATGGTCAAACTGACTACAGAACACATGAACCAACTGATGAACAAACTAACCAACCAATGAAAACACGAAGAATGAGCAAAGCAAAGCAACGAGCAAGCACTCCCACACAGCAGCCAAGGAAGGAAGGAAGGAACAAATGGACAGCCAAGAAACCAACAGCAAATAACACAACTGAACAAGCCCACCAATGAATAGCTGAACTACTGAACCAGCCCATGAACAACTGGATACCCCGACAAATACAAGGACTCAGTTGGACGGCTGGGGGCAAGGCTGTGTGGGCAGCATGGGGTATCCACATGCTGATCTGGCATTCCCCTGTGGGGCCAAGCCTACAAGCAGGGCAACCAGGCTCACTTGTGAAGCAGGTCCACACCCGTCAGCCAGGAGCTGGTCAAGTCCACAGCACTGTCACCATCCACTGCCCTGCAGAAGCTGGGCACAAGGGGCCCGCCACAGGACACAGCGCTGGAGACACTGCTAGAACACTGCTAGAGCCAAATAACAGACATGGGTACAATCTGCAGACACACACACACAAGCCATGGCATCAGCAACCGAGACAATTCTGGGTTAGCTTACTAGACTGGGGAAAGGGAGGAGTGTGTGACCACTCACTGCACATCTACTTCCAAAAACCTCTCTACATCCACATCAAACTCACACATTAACAAAAAGTAAAAAGCAGTAGCTCTTCCTAACGAGAGCTCATCCCAAGTCGGTGTCCACGTGCCTTCCTCTTTAACCGAGGTGGGCCTGGGACCCTGTGAGCATCACTAAGTGATACCACACCACCGTGGGGGCCCAAGCCGTTCCTCGGGGGGACGGTGGGGGAATGGGATGAAAAACCCAGCTCCCCAGACACTGGCCAGCACCAGAGGGTACTGAGGGCGGGGAGAAACCTGAAGCTGGAAGGGCCCAGGATGAGGCTGCTTTTTCACTCAGGGCTGGTGCTTTACCACTTGAGCCAGGCCTCCACTTCTGGCTTTTGAGTGATTAACTGGAGCTAAGAGTCTCAAGGACTTTTCTGCCCAAGCCCTGGTCCTCAGATCTCAGCCTCCTGAGTAGTGAGGATTACGGGTATGCGCAACAGATACCCAGCAACGTGAGATTTTTAACAAAGCATGATTTATCAGCTCTTCGGTCATGACCCATTGTTTCTGTGGCCCAGCTAAGAAATCTTCACCTAACTCAAGGTCAAAAGAGATTTTTTTTTTAATGCTTTCTGGCTTTTTACATCTTACATTCAGATCTCATGTCCATTCTAATTTGTTTTTCATTGTTTCGGGTAAGTTTATTTGCAGGTGATTAAGGGTTCCAGAACCTGCTGTTGATTAAAACCATCTTTCCACCACTAACGTATTTCATTCTCTTGATCAAAATTCAAAGGCATGTCTCCTTATGGATGATTTATGACCTCTGTCCAGTGCATTGATACCTATGGTTCCAGAAGCAAGGTGCTGCCCTGGCTACAGTAGATTTACAGCAAGATAAAATCAAATAGCTCTTGTAGCAAATTAATGAGAGCAAATGACAGTTGATGTCCAACAAGAAACAGCATTACATCCCAAATATTCCATCTGTTCTCCACGTTGACCTGAGTCTGTAGGACAAAAACAGTTCTCGTGGTAACGGGCACTTTCTATCCGGCCTTTCTAAAACAGAACCACAATTTTCTTCTTGGGATTTTCTGTGTGTTTCCCAGAGGTGTGACATTTGAGCGAGCTGCCCCTCTCCATGCGCCTGCCAGGCCAAGGCCCAGGTCCAGCCCAGCCTTGCCCTTTAAGATCGAAATGTGGACAAAAGACAAATGCGTCCATTGGCCATGTGCCCCTCCCCCAGCACTGGCAGTGACTGGCATTTGACTTTTAAGTTCTTGTTACAAGCGGCAGCTTGAGACACAGAAGGAAGCTGGCTCCTGGAGATGGCTCACACCTAGCAAATGCTACAAAGCCAAGTGTCATGAATGAAGTTTACTGGGGTGACAGCCACTGTTGATGCACTCCTCGCACTGCCCAGACACACAGTTCCCAGAAGGTCCTGGAGCAGAGCACTGCCTATGGAGCTGGGCTGTGAGGGACCCCGAGTCCCACTGGTCCTATGGACAGGACTGAGAGGCTTCTAAATGTTTACCGTTATAAATACAACGTGGATGAACGTCTTTCCGCTCCATCCTGTGGCCTCTGGTCACTTGGTGATTATCTGCGCATCTCCAGGACTACTGCGTTTGATCGCACTGTTGGCTCTAACCAGTGGGGGCACTCCTTAACAACTCCCAGCACCAGGAGCCATTTTTTCCACTCCTCAAGCTGTGCACATGTTCAAAACACTAAACCAGGGCTCAACCTGCTGTGCAGATGTTACGCGAAACGGAAACACCCCCAAAGGATACCCCCAAGCCAGCAGCAGGACTCAGCGCCCGCACCAGCAGCTCCGCCGACTCTCTGCCGGCCTCTAATAGGATAACGAGGCTGAGTTCAAGGCCCCCCCCTCGGCGCAGACAGCATGCGTGCTCTGGGCATCACCGCCAGGCTCCGGGCCCTCCGTCCACCATCCCCAGCAGGGGCGAATATGGCCTGCAGAGCTGCACAGAGCTCATTTCCGCTCACTCCAAAGAGCAGGTCCCCAGGCTGCCTGTTCTCCCTCCCCCAGGCTGGCCTGCCCACCTTGCTCTGGTCACCCCACTCCCTCTCGGGCACTCCAAGGTACTATGAGGCCTCAAGAACATTCCTGAGGGGGAGGGGCCACCTGGCAGTAGGGCACCCCAGCACCAACAGAATCTGGGCATCACTAGCCACAGTGGGGACCCCACAATGCAGGTGGCCAGAAAGGGAAGGGAAGGTAGGATGGAATTAGGGTCTGCTCTAGAAGGTTCTGCTGTATCTTCTGGCTAAAGGGACAGGCACTATTCCAGTTCATGGTGACAGCTCCTCCCGTGGCCCTGTGGCACAGAAGGTTCTGCTCCATGCACCAGATTCAGAAACGGGAGCTCACCTGCAGGCCCAAGAGGCCTGGCTTTGTCACAGGACACAGCCCGCCCAGGTCCCAAGAATGGCACAGCAGTCCCTCTCCAGAAGCAGAAGGGCCAGTGCCCTTGCCAACAGGTGGGCAGCCCAGGTCTCTGGTGGTCACCGGGGATGACCCAGCAATGCGGTGACTGCCCACCATCGACGGGAAGGGGGTCCTGCGAGCAAAGCGCTCAAAGGTCCCTGCATCTGGCCACAGTGAGTCAACGTCCCGGAATTCACCCCACAGAAATCATCCGAGAGCCACAAAAGACCTACCAGCATGACATCCACACAGGCGCTCCTTACAAAGCAAGCAGATGGGAACCGCCCTGCCCACCCCCAGAGGGACAGATGGATGGACGGGCGGCCGGGAGGACAGACGGACCAATGGAGTGAGCAAGTCAATGGGATGGAGAGCCGGCAGAGATAAGGGCACAGCGGCCCCTACCTACCCACTCTCCTTCCAGAGTTCTGGTTACTTCAGGTAACCAGAACTCTGTTCTGGTTCAATGGAAAAATCCCGGAAAAAAAAATAATAAATCTCAGCAGCTTTAAAGACAGTGCACTGTTACAACCTTTCTCCTGTCAGTAGTCCTTGATCATCGCTGTCCGCATAATTTATAAACAGAATCTTTGTGTTTTTATCTGTGTGTCATGTGTCATCTGTCTGTGTCTGTGTGTACATGTGCACGCGTGTGCTGGTACTGGAACTTGAACTCATGGTCTGGAGCTTTTGTGTTCCCTACTTGAGTCACAGCTCCACTTCTGGCTTTGGGGTGGTGAATTGGAAAGAAGAGTATCATGGACTTTTCTGAATCAGCTTTGAACCATGATCCTCAGATATCTCAGCCTCCGGAGCAGCTAGGATGACAGGCCTGAGCCACCAGTGCCTGGCTCTTTCCCATGGTTTGTTTTTTAAGACCAAAAATGGCTTTCCCTCACTCACTTCAGACAGCAGTTAGCTGCCAGGAGCAGGAAAGGCAAAGGGCTCCCACAGTGGCAGCCCGCACCTCCCGGTCCCGACTGGCCATCTGCACACCTGCCCACTACTGCCAGAGCAACACCTTCATCTCCCCAAAGACTCCAGTGAGGATCTCACCCCACACACCACTGCCCAGTCTAGAAGCAACTGCTGAGTCCCAGCTTTCCAGCATCCTTCCCCATACTGATGTAGTCAAACCTGGCTCGGTGAGGAGGGGAAGGAAGGGGAGTAGAGAAGGGAGTAGAGAAGGGGGGAGGCTTTGGTGGAGGAGGATGGTTGGGGGGATGGACTTCCCTTCTACTAGTGATGGACTGACAGTATGGCATGTTCTCCTCCTCTTGCTTTGCTTTATGTCCTGTGTCTTGAGTCTGGCCGTCTCAGTACATCTCAAACCGTCTAATGCCACGGTGCACTACTGAGCAGATGTACAACTTACCTAACTCTCCAGCAGCATCTGACAGTATTACATGGCACGCTTATACATGCATGCGCATGAGTATGTCTATGAGAAACATTTCCAAGAGGCAGAGCTGCTGTGTCAAACAGTACGTGCACTTGCAAATCTTGCAAAGTGCCTGCGGGAGACAGCAATAGATGAGAACGTCCACTCTCCTGAACTAGAATTAATAATGCACCTGCCCACTGTGTGCACTCTGCCCAGCCAGCCTGACAGGGACAGAGCCATGTATCTCTGTCTCTCTCTTCGCCCACCCCCAAAGTTCCTGTCCTTGTAAAAAGAGACATTCTTCCACATGTTTAAAGGGTCCTTCTATTTTCTTTCCCAAGAACTAGTGTCTTTGGGGGCATTTTTGTGTTTGGTTGCTGGTCGTTTCTTATTGATTTGTAGAAACTCTTTGCACAGGATGGCCTATCAATCCCCTTTCTGCTATGCACATTCATGAGTGGGATCTTTTTTATTATTACTACTATTTTCTTCTAGCCAGGCAGAAAATCTTGACTTTGGTAGAATCAGTTTTTGCTCCTTTATAACTTCTGTGGTTTATGTCATACTTCAGACAGCCTTCCCATCTCAAAGTTATAAAACACCCACCCATGCTTTCTTCTAGTAGTTCTGTGGTTTGTGTTCACCCCCACCCCCAAGTTCACATCTTTGATCCATCTGGAATGCATTTGCTACAAGAATAAGGCAAGATCCAGCTCCTTTGTCCCAAATGGCTTCTTGGTTGTCCCAGCCCAGTGACTAAGCCTTTCCTTCACAGCCCATGTGAAACTGTCACAGATTCCTGCCAGGGTCCTGGCACCTCCCGCCCACAGCTGACGGACTCGCGGGGTGAGGGGTCTGCTCCTCACCAGCCCCCAGAACCATCTGCTCATACGTGCGGCCCAAGAAAGAAGTCAGCGCCCCCTGCTGGGGGAAGCAGCTGAGGCCAGACCTCCCCCCCAACATGCTGTCTTAATGCCCGGGGGGGGGGGGCGGTTAGAATAACCAGGCCCGGCAATGGCACGAGGTCCCACCCAGAGAATGGTGGCTGAGTTCCATTTAGAAGTGGCAGCTTGAACAAATCAAGTCTCCAACCCTGGAGGCTCTCAAGCCAGGAGGGTCCAACCCCCTGTGCCAGGCTGGCATAACCGTCCATGTTGAGAATCACAACAGAGACTGGTGCAGAATTCGTGGCTCAACAAACACATGATTAACAACAAACAGATTCAAGCACTTTCTTCCAAACCCGGCTCATCTCAGGCGCATCGGCTGGGTCCCAGCCCTGCTGGCAGCGGCCCACACCCACCTCATCTCAGAGCTGCGAGTGCTCCGAGGTCAGGAGCACAATCAGAGGTGAGGCGAGGCCAAGAGCTGCAGGGCCAGGAGGCGGAGTTCTAGCAAGAAACCTCACGATGAACCGTCTCCACTCCCACTGTCCACACCCCCAAAGGCCATGGGGGGGGGGCCCGGGGAAGGTTGGACAGCTCCTGACTGGAGAGCATCGTGAGTCTGCTAGATGTGAGGAAAGCTGCTTGAGAAACAGGGTCAATCCTGCTGGCACCTGCCAGGCCCAGGCCATCGGGACAGGGAGGCTGAAAGGAAGGCGACCATGGGACTCTGTGCACAACTGTTAGCGGGGCAGCTAACTAACGGGCAGCAGCCCGGAGCCAGCGGGAAGCCAGGCCGGCGCCCTGGCTGCCACAACAGATATCAAGCCTGGAACCACTTCACAGTGACAGAAAGAAAGGACCCAGTCCACCTCTCTGCAGAGGAACTGACGGCAACCAAGGCTTCAACCTTCATGGTTGTGCTTTGACAAAGGAAATGTTAGGGGCCCCGTGTCTTTGATTGGGCTTAGTTTCAGCTGAGGGTGGGAGGCTGCCTGCACAGGTCCAGGTCCGGGGTGCCAGCATCTGTGAGGGGTCCTGAGCAAACCTCGCCCCCCACCAGGAAGTCCTACGGGACAGCAGCTGTGCCAGGGACGGGCCCAAAAGAGAAGAAGGGATCTGTGGAGGGCGGGCAGGAGCTGAGAGCGTCTAACACAATCCAAGACACGGCTGGGGGTTTCCCGGGGTGAGGAGGTAGGTGGATCCTGGAATTCAGGAGCCAGAGCTGGAAAAGCCTGGAAAGATTGCTCTGTCAGGGCTGCAGACAGCGGGGAGGTGGCCACTAGGGGGAGCTCAGGAAGATGGTAGGCTGGCTGCTGGTGGGGCGTGGAGGGGGTCACCGCAGAGGGGACCTGGAGCGACCTGGGGAGGGTCATGACCCAAGACGAAACCTGTTCCTGTCAGCCCAGTCACCGGGGAACCCTCCCAGGGACTGCTGTGGGGTGCAAACCACAGCTAGAAAGCACCCAACCGGAGGAGGGCATGAGACTCATCCGCTGCATGCCTGTAAGGCTAGTCAGAGATGCCAGACAGATGGCACTGGATCACACACACACACACACACACACACACACACATACACACACACACACACACAGCCACAAGCTACCCTTTGCTTGGAAGCCTGAGGTAGCTCCAACTGCTTACATGATGCAAGTCACCCGTCCCTGCGTGCAGCCCTGTGTCCCCTGGGGACAAGCCAGTGGGCCCTGAACCCACAGACCCTGATCCACTCACACCAATGAGAAGACTCCTGGGCTGAGCCTCGGGAGGGCGGTTCTCCTCCTCCCCCGGGGACAGGCTGGGCATCCTCTCTGCAGCATCTGGGGGACAGCCACAGTGAATTCTGGCCACCAGTGAATTCTGGCCACCAAGGTGACACACAACCTCAGGGCCACGTGTGCAAGGTGATCCTGAATCCATGGCTTTCAACTACACTAGAATTCCCTCACCACCCCCCCCCCAGCAGTTAGCCTGGGACATGCACACCGGCGGGGACAGGTGGGGACAGGTGGGGACAGGTGGACCGCCCAAAGAGCACAGTCAAAAGGACTCGAGGTCAAGTGAAGGTTCCTGGGGGCCTGTCCTTGGCATGCCCTGGGCCTCCTGGGTGCTCAGAGGATAAAGGGAGTTGAGGCCCAGCCTGGCACTAAGCTCAGTGTTTGTATTGTCCTTTTCTAAAATGCCAAGGGTTTTAAGACACGGAGTACGCCCTAGTTCAGCCTCCTTGACCCCACTGAGGTTACAGCTCAGCCATACTCAATTCTTGGGAGCGCCAGCCTGCCGGTGAGGGGAGGTCACAGCGCCCCATCCCACGCACGTACACACGCCCCACAGCACTAGCAGTGCTGGCCAGCCCGGACAGCCCCAGGCCCCTTCAACCAGGGGTCGACTGAGGTACAGCAGGCTGCTCCTCCTACCTGGCCACGAGCCTCCCCCGATCAGGCGATGGGACACTTGCGTCAGCCCCGCAGCACACCGCCCACCTGCAGCTGGAGGTAGGGCTCAAGAGCAAGTCCCACAGAGCTCAGCCACAATGGGGGGGTGGGGGGAAGGAGGGGCCTGGGGCTTGGGGAGGGGGGCTTTGGAACACGGTGCTAAATGATGAGGCCCTGAAAGCTCTGGTCCCTCCTGGATCCCAAGCCGCCCGGTGCCCTCACCCACCACGGCTAGAGGCTCAGAGGGAGGGCAGGGAGGGAGCACACAGGGCCTTGGGGCTGTTCTCCCCTCCTGACTGCCACTCCTTATCAGCTCCCTACTGAGGAGTGAAGACCCCCCCCAAAGAAAAAGAACACAGTCATGGATGGAGGGGGCAGAGCCCTGGTCTCAGAGCACTCCGCCAGGCTATA